AAATATGAAAGAGATGGATTTGGTTGCTAGGTAACAGTGCAGTGCCTAATGATTGTGACTTATCAATGGTGAGATTTTGTTTTTTAAAAGGGCACCTTTTCCAGACATTGACTTATTTCCAAAAAAATGGCTGGGTGTATTTATTTATTTTAAAGTGGTTACATTGTCACATTACAGTATAAAAGCAATGTAAAAGTGTGTAAAAAAAAGTCCCCTCTAGGCTTCCGTACACTGGTTTCGAAAGTTCAAAAGGAAAGTGCAAATTCTGCTCCCAAATAAAAGATTGTAGCTTTGCTTGTTTTGGAGGCTCTAATGCCAGCAAAGGGAACAAATTTGTCTTTTTTCCCCCAAAAAAAAAATTAAGAAAAATGTGAACATGAAGGTAGAAGAGCTTTCTTGGTTCTTAGATGGTTTTCACTGTGATGGGGGGGAAAAAACATTAAATTGTCTTCACAAAAACAGTGGCAGCTGTTGCTTTCCCAGGTGACTAGTTTTGTTTCCTCTATGAAGACATGAGAGCCATCAAGTCGTGGGATAAAAAAAGCAACAAACAAAAACATGTACTGTTCATAATACAATGCTTTGCAATATATATATTTATAGTTTATATATATATAAAGTGCTTTTTTACATTTTTGCAGGGATTTTAATTGATAGACCAAATCAACAACAATAAATGTGCAATGTAGTTGTTAGTCCTCTCTTTTTTGTTTGTTTCTTTCACCTTTGTGCATCCAGGCACTACAATATTCACTCATTTTATCCAGTAAAATGACTCCAGCTTGGATCGAGAGTGTCTATGAAGAGTCTGCAGATTCCACGTTGGGAGCCACATTTAGCTCTGGAGCTCGACTGAACGGTTTTATGAATGTGCTCTGATCCTTAGCAGGGGGGTCTCAACCTCCAGTCACTGATGATCCGTATCCCAGAGCTGCTCCAAATACACCTGAATGCGATGACAAGAACAGCCTCCTCAGCGTGCGTTCAGGTTTTACAGAGTCCTGCTTGTGGCATAATTCTTTGATTCCAGTCTGTAAAAGCTGAGCATCAGAAAGTTATAAAAAAGGTCCCTCAGTTTTGAGACCCCTTGTTTGAATCGTTCCGTCTTATTTCTGTCTGTGCGTCCAGCTGCAAAGTAAACCTCCTCTCCTATTTTACGCCTTTTGAAGCTGCAGCGAGTTTCTGTTGAAACAATATTCCCAGTTTGGCTTCATCCAGTCTTCCCATGTGATTTGAACAACTTCCCTGTCAGTGCTGAAGAAAAGCATCCCTCACAGCTTGACGGCCCCACCGTGTTTCTCGGCGCTGAGCGTTGTTTGGTTTTCTGCCGGATGAAGTGAGTTGCATGTCGGCCAAAACTGGTCTCATGTGTTCCACATATTAATTCTTTTTCCTTTATTTTCTTCATTAAACACCGTACCTGTGGAGTGCACAATAGCAACTAATGGTTGTCTTAACATATTCTGAAGTGCGTCGCTCTGCAGCTCCTCCAGAGTTACCAAGTTCCTCTTGTCTGCTTCTCTGATTAATGCTCATCTTACTAGGGTTTGTCCATCCATTTAAATCGTGGGAGGTGGACACTTGTGCCGTCCTGTGTTTTATTTTTGAATGTTGGGTTGTTTGCTACACAGTCAGAGTCACTCTGTGCTGGTCTGTCACATAAAAACCCACGGAAATGGGTCAAGGTTACAACACGACAGGCTGCAAAAAGGTTCAAGGGGAAGCAATGCTTTCGCTGTTATGTAGTGGCTCTACGTTACGAGAATGATTAAATCATTGACAGAGTAATCTGGGGGAAGCATTTTGCTGTTGCAACTCTCGTCTGTTATGTTTCCTCAAAAACACGCTTGCAGTCTGAGATGTAAGTGAAAATAGAAAGCCGTCACACACAGAAGCTTAGTGGGGGAGGCGGGGGGGTTTAATAAATCCACAGCAACGCAGGTCTGTGGGGGCGTCTCGGGACGGAGCCAGGAAGCCAGATGAACGTATACCTGCCCTGGGGCGCATGCAGAAACAGTGAGGGTGCAGGGGGAGCTTGGACAGGAGGAAGAGGGTGGGTGAGTGGGGGAAGGGGGTGTGGGGTTTGTGAAGCCACAGGCACATCATGTCTCTCATTGCCCTGACTTCTTCTCTCCCCTGCCATCAGTCTCTTCTCTCGCCCACTCTGTCTCTGCTCACATCATCATCAGCATGAAAGCCAGGCCCACAAACACTGATGTGTTTGTCAGAGGGAAAAATGCCCCGTCACTTTAATAGCATTTCATGCCATCTCCGCTTTCACCGAGGACTTGGCGTTTGCTCTTCAGTCGTGCACATAAAAAAAAAGAGAGAGAGAGAGAGAGAGAGAGAAACACAGACTGTAATTTCAGACAAACGCAATGGAAATGTCGAGTGCGGCCAATCAGATTTAATCATGTATGGAGAAACGTAATTTTGGAGGACACCGGGGCAGAGAGTGCGGCTGATGCGGATATTGGTTACGGCGCTGAAAAAGCCGTGTCCGCATTCCTGCAAATATGGATGTATGGAAGCCTGCTTGTGATTTCAATCTGACTAATGTATCAGAACAAAGCCATCTGGGCTGCACTGACCCCTGAGGTGAGGGTCTGGGGTGAGCGTCGGGGCGGTGGGGGCGGCTCGAGCGTGGGCGTCCGGTGTTTGCTCCGAGATGGCCAGGGAGACAGGAAGTACAGTCATGCCTCTGGAACTTCCTCCAAATTTTGTCAAGGCAGCAGATAACATGAAGCAAAGTGAAATTATAGATACTCAGTTGAGTTCTGCCCTCTTAAAATAAAATTGATAAAATAAAACATTGGTAACATAACAGCTGTGTTATCAGAATATGGACATCAGTCCAATTTTTCAGCTTCCCTAGCAATAACTTTAATACAGTTTAGAAAATCAGCCTGTGACAAATACAGCTCACTTTTAAATTAACCTGAAGAAAAGTTATGCGAAAATCTGAAATTATATTCAGTGTAATAAACAGAGGCAGGCTCACAAACATCCTTTCAATAAAATGTCTGCACTCCGGCTTTTAGTCATTTTAAATTCAGTTTAATTTAACAGATGGACTCTCGCCTAGCCCGGCCATTTTTGTGTCCATCCTTCGTTCGTCACGTCAGAGCGCTGCGCAACGCAAATAACGACCCGGCTGGAACGCGGTGCGATAAATAATCGGGGCGGATGAATTTTCCTCGAGAAATTTTAATAATCGAGGTACTCGAATCATTCGTGTAATTGCAAAAGCACTAAAAAAAACCAAACAACAAAAACAGCTTCTTTTCCTGGCCGGCATTGTATGGCTTTAAACATTTACTGTTTTGGGTCAATTGGGATTACTTCTATTTGAGAAAATAGGGGAAAAAAATCAAAAGATATGAGCAGAAATATCAGGAAAAGTAACGTGGACTCCCAGAGTCTGGTTCGAACTTGGGTGCAAGTTTGAGGTGCTTGGTGATGGAGCGCTCGTCTATTGACGCATTTATGTTTATGCAGATCCAACAATCATAAAGTGAAGGAACGGAGACGGACTCAGAACTGAAGTTGATTTGTGTTGAAATGTGTGATTCAGGTCATGTGAATAATCTCACATGACCTTCTAAAACTTGCAAGCGAGTCATCATCCAGAGAATCCTGTACTGACATCATCAGAAAGGTCAACCAGCAAAGAAGAAGAAGAGGCCTTTACTCTGTAAGCGACAGAGTGCAAATGCTCTCAATTCCTGGTTTTCAGTGATCACCTGGACTACGCTCGCTAAAGAGAGGAGAAGGCTTGCATCTGAAGCCTGAGGACACCGCGCTAGCTGTGAAGTCCGGAGGAGGCCGCGTCACGTTGTGGGGGTGTCTTGCGGGGCAACAGACTGACGCAGCTCCCAAAATAGATGGCAGTATGAGAAGAGAACAATACTTCACGTGGAAGCACTGAAGCCAAATCTCAAGTCATCAGCGAGGAAGTTCAGACTTGGACACAAATTGGTCCTCGAAATGGACAATGACTCAACGCCTGCCAAAAACAACAAAGTGACTTAAGGACGGTTACTTGGAGTGGCCATTACAAAGTCCTGACTTATAAAATTTGGCAGCCTGGATGTGAGTGTGAAGCAAGGCGGCGTACGAAGGCGACTCATTTACATCAGTTCTGTCAGAGGGAACGGAGTGAATATTCGAGAATGTCACACGGCTTAAAATGCAATTTTACGAAAGACCAAGAAAATTTACATAAACCTCAGAATCCTGAGATTTTCTTTCCAAAACAACATGCTTCTCCTTATTCCAGCAGAGAAATAATTTCAGTGATTGACCTAAGCACTCGGCACTGTTGACATTTTTAACGTAGGCCTTAAAGACACATCGAAATAAACAAATACTTATTCAGCCTTTTATGCAAGGGCGGTCATAGGAAGTGATCATCAGAAATGGTAACAATTTAGATGATGTGTTGACCTTCAGGTGTTGTTTGCTTTTCTTTTTTCCTTTCTACTTCTAAGCACCTTCATTATTCAAAACCAGCAACGCTTTCAGAGTGTCACCTAAAGATGACCTTTGTCTTCTTTTTACCTTTTACTCTCTAGATTTGCATAGCTTACACGTTCAGTGTGGTGAACCACGCTAAGCTTATTCACCAATTGTTCATGTCGTGATTTTGGCCACACGTCTGTCACACGTTCGGTGATGAAGAGCGGCGCGGTGGAGACGTCGCCTCGACTTCCCGGAGGAGAACTGCTGACGATCTAGAAATGAACAACAAGCCATGTGTGAGTAAACCGGGATCACATTGTCACTCTGGAGGAGCTGCTGAACCCCGCGACCCAGGTGGGAGAACAACAAGAGAGCCTTTGTTTAGAGAAAAAAATAAAATAAAATAAATAAATAAATCGTTGCTCACAAGCCCTGTGGGGAAGTGAAAGTTGAGATGAAACCAAAAGTCAATGCTTTGGCCCACATATGCGACGTCACGTGTGAAACTCATCGAAGAGAGAACATCACGCCAGACCAAGTTCCATGGGAAAAATTTTATTTATCAATATGCTGTAGTTTCCAAACTGGTGGAACGTTTGTTTCCATTGTAGCTGGTGCCGACAGGTTACGCTGAGAAGTGGTAAATAAGTGAATGACAAGAAGAAGAAGAAAACAAAACATAAAATAACATTTGTGATTCCAACAAAAGGAAAGTAAATTCAACAGGTCTTTGCTTTCACATGCACATTGAGAGAAAAATAAATCATAATACTGTGGCTTTGAAAGAAGAAAAAAAATAATAACCCAGCAGAAACCACCTTACAGCATCCTTGTGCTAAATTAGGAAGGAGGGGACGACAAAGGAGAAGGGCAGCGGGAGAGCGGGAGGAGAGGGAGCATCTTTAAAACAAAAGACCGCCTGGGAGATAATGAGCGGTGTAAACCAGATGATTTATTGGCGAGCGGGCCACTGTCACGCTCTCGTACGAGGCCTCGTTCTTTTCCCCGCCTCTCCTTCTCCCTCCTTCCCTGCAACCTTCCCCCCTTTCCGGCCCTCTAGACTTATAAAAGCTGAAATCAGACTCTTCTTTTTTTTTTTTTGGACCAGCATCTTTTCTCTTTTGGCGTCGCCATGGGTGAAAGAGGCTCAAATGGAGCGAAATAACACAGTCGTCATCGTCATATGCAGAGTTGAGCCGCGCCTCCAACATCATCATCATCATCATCGTTCCAGCAACCTGTCCTGTTTCAAAGCCACTCGGTGACAAAGGTTCAGTCTGAAGACGTAAAACTTCCTGTTGAACACAAAAAATAAAAGCAAAACCTCCCCCTCTCTGAATCCTAGTTTTATTTTATTATTATTAATATTTTTAAAACACGTGTGGTAACAAAGACTTTTTCGACAATACTGGATGCTGCGTAAAAGACAGCACATGTTGCAATATTCAGTTAAAAGTCTAAAGGAAAAAGAAAATGAAGACAAAAAAAACAAAAAAAACAAACAAAAAAGAAATTGCAAGGATTCATACAAAACACACTTTAAAAAGACGGCTATTTACAAACATCCTCCATTACAAAAATCTAATCTTAAATTCTTCTTATGAGCAGTGTTCAGGTGGAAATTAAATCTTAAACAGGGCTCTATCCATATATTTACATTTCTCTGCTTACTCTTTTTTTTAATTATTATTTTTATTTATTTTATTATTTTTTTTCCATAATTCCTCCCGAAATTGAATAACACTAAGCGGTCGCTAGAATGAATGAAAATGAGATATGCTTTGTGGTAATTTGGTAATGACTCCCTAAGCTGGTGTAGATGAATAGAGGCGCGGTGATCCGAAACAAAAATATATGCTCTAGATGAGTTTTGCAGATGGGCGCATGCTGAGTTAAAACACAGGGACACACACGCACGCACGCACACACACACACACACACACACACACACACACACACACATACACACACAAAATCACCGGCAGCTGCTGAGGTTGTTAACTCAAGAGGTTAACGACACGCAAGAGCCACCGGAGTCCTCCCCGAGTCTTCAAGCCGGGGTCGCCTTTTAACCCTGCAGCGCCGGTCCGAGGGTGATGTCAGCGCTGGCTGATGATGGGCTGGACTCTGTCGCTGGGTAAACGTTACGCACCCTACCCCTGACCGGAAGCAAACCTGAACCCGTCAGTCTGGATGTGTTTACGTTGGCGCGTGGGCGCAAACGACAGCTTGTCGTCCTTTATGGCTCTCCCTATTTCCTTTATATTATGGCAAGACATGAGTGCCAAATATTGGTGCGCTGCAAAACCACAAAACCTTACCAAGTGCTTTTGGTTTGGTTTCTAGTGCAAATGCCTGAAATAGGACGCTTGAAATAGGACAAAAACGGACTCACAAGCGTCGTTTAAGCAAGATGTACGGGCTTGTTTTATGTCAATAATTACTTCATATTTACGAAAAAATACTAGTTATAAGCAAAATAATCAGCCAGTAAAGCTAGTAATTCTTCATCAGTGAAAAGAAGTTATGTATTAACTTAAATTAAGCCCATGATTGCTTGTAGTTTAGTCTTATTTCAAATATACCAAAGATATTTACCTTAGAAAACTAGACCAATAATGGTAACATTTTATGTTTTTTCGGTACATAAAATTGCTGCTGACAAAGTCAGACTGATTAAAAGCCACTTTTTAAGTCAGGCCCGACGATGAGCTACTAAAAAAGTGGCATTCCCAAGATACAGGGCCTTTTTTTTCCGTGTTCATGTGGCATGAGATGTTTTGATGACTTGATCGAACCGTACGCGCTGAGAAGGAGGCGTTCAAATCGCTGTGACTTGCTGGTGTAAAATATGGCCTTCTGTTCGGGGGGAGGAGTTCACCTACTTTACAGCGCGCTTCGCTTCTTACCTACATCTGTTCGTGTCATACAGATGTAGAACGGCTGTATTTTTATGAAAAGGAAAAAACAAACAAAAAAAGTGACGTTCTACGATCTGATAGAACGTTTTCCTTGGCTTTTCATAAACAGGCAACGAGATCAATGAGGAAGGAAGTGCTCAAAATACGACTTGCTGGTGTAAAATACAAAGTTTTCACTGACATTTTCCTGACTGCCGATATTTGGCACTAGTGGCTTGCCGTATCTCAGACATCATTAGCTTTGACTGCAGTGCTGTATGCTCCATTAGAGGAGATGCACAGTCCCAAAAAAACAAAAAAAATACTGTCTGTCACAGCAGCAGACAAAATTTGCCCACATCCACTAAGTGGAAACTGCAAATATAAGCACAAATAAGCACCTATGTGTGCACACACACAAAAACATCCCCCTCAAATTTACACTCGTGCAGCTGCAGTAAAATCCCGCCTTGATGCTGTCGCCCTGGGCTGTGTGATAGCTGAGCTGCAGTGTCCTCGCTGAATATTCCACGCAGCATTTTTATTCACAGCACAGCTGGTAAGAGAGAGGCCTGCGAAAACGAAAGTGCCTCAGCCGGCACCGCCTCACCCGTTCCCACCTCCATCGTCCTCTCAAGCTAAAGCCGAGTCACGGGGACAATTTTTCTCCCCCTCGTCCTTCCCGCCCCCAGTCGGGTGGTGAGAGTGGGCATGGAGATGGCACGTAGATTAGTCACACGCTGACTCATCTCCAGATGGCGGCCAATTGGAATGTGATGATACTGTAGTCCGGCTCTCTGTCCAAACCTATATGTGGGGCATCATACCTCTGTAGGCTAGCCAATCAGCGGAGAGCCATCTGACCGACGCCCCTCAAATTAAATTTTTTTTGGGATGATTCAACTGCGGCTCCAGGAGATAAAGCGAACAAATAGCAACCTGCCTGCCTGTCTGAAAGCCGATCCGACAGTAAGGTCTCCGATCGGTGCCAACTTGGAGCACTCAAGAGTGTTTGCTAGATCTCGTCTGTCGGTCGGCGCATCACCCTCTATTTTTTTTTTTACTTGTCATGCTTTGGATACAGTATCTCGATGTCAAATCCAATAAGGTCTCCACACTTCTTAGAGAAACAGGTCCGGACATGTCCAACCGCACTCAACGAGGACACACCCTGAAATACACACACACACACAAATGTGCCAGAGCAATGCTGGAACTCATTTCAGCAGAGCAGGAGGGGAGGACTTCCACGTGTGCAACACACACACACACACACACACACACACACACACACACACACACACACACACACACACACACACACACACACACATGCAAGCATACACACCTCGACAGCAAAGAGTCCAGGTAAAAGTGGGGTGTCAACAGATTAAAAGCGGCGAGATGGCGTGGGCGGTGAGGGGTTGGGAGTCGTTATGACAATGGGTTTAGCTCTATACATTGTGCACTTGTAGGAAAAGTCTAACAAAATACAACTGCTTCGTGAACTTAATCAGGGTTCGAGGAAATCTCCTCCATCAAAAATAGTAAGTAAGGCAAACATCAGAGGTGCGTAAGGGAGAGGAGCACGTTTTTCCACACACTGTGTAAAGATACCTGAGCTATCTGGAGAGTTTCCCTGGCCCAGCAACGGCGGGAGGGTGGGGAGGTAGGCCCCCCACACGAAACGCGCACAGTGGTGCACACGTACAAACACCTTGATGTTGGGTTTTTTTTTTCCTTTCCTACTTGCTCACCAGAGGCAACCCCCTCCACCCCCTGCCTGCCTGCTTCCCGGCCGGTTGTGTGCTGGGGATGGCGTGTTTAATTGGGTGTAGCACAAGCTGTACTTCGGGGAGCCGAGATAAGTTATATCCTGTCCATTAGCAGGGACAGGGAAGCTAGAGGTCCATCTGTTGGTCCAGTCCAGACTCTCCGGGAGTGGTTGGGGTCGGAGGGGAGACGCATACTGGTGGGGGGGTGAGGGAGGTGAGGGAGGAGAGGGGCGACGGTCGGGGTCTCTCATCAGTCAGCTCCCAACCCCGCTGGTGACTGCTCAGTACGTGTTTCTCCAGATTTGTGCAGCAGGTGGTACAAATAACAAGGAGGGGGGGGTTGCTTCAAGTCCCCGCGCCCCCCTCCTCAAAAAAAGATTCAAAGGAAAACGTTCTTCCCAAGAACGTAAATCAAGCGCTCCTCTCTCCTGGCCATCGCCGCCGGCTCCCCTGGAGCGCGTCAAACCTTGTAATAGATGTTGGCAGGGCTCTGCGGCGGCATCTCCTGGACGATGTAGACCGGGTGACCGTAGTCCCCGCTCACCTTCTCGTAGTGGGGGCAGTAGTTGTTCTCTGTCCGCAGGGGGATGATGATGTCGCTGGGCTCGGTGCCGGCCGTGCCGCCGGGCAGCTTGGGGTTGGACAGCGTGCTGAGCGACAGCGCCGACGGGCGGGCCTGCGAGTGCGCGTTTTTCCTGGAGCGCTTGCGCATCTTGATGAGGAGGATGACGAGGAGCAGAATGAGCACGAGGAAGATGATGCATCCGATGGCGATGCAGGAGAACACGGCCACCTTGGAGCTCAAGAAGCCGTCGGTGCTGGAGGAGGACCCGGGATCATCTTGGATCTTGGGGCCTGCAGAGAGAGAGAGAGGGGGGGCTTAAGGAGAGGAAGGTCACCAAAAGGCAGAGATAATTTATTCCTTTTCTGAGCTGCACAGAGGAAAGATTTGTGATGAATGGCAAACTATCATTCAGTTGTTTCCTGATGTACGTCTCTGCTTATTCCATGACTCGGACTTTACAGATTTATGTGAGCAACGCTTGAAGACTTTGATTAAATGAAAAAATCTATTTCACCATATGCTTTGCAAATGAACAAAACCAGGACTGCAAGTAACAAGTAATTTAGTTATCCATCAATTCTTCTGACGATTGATCAATTAGTAAAATAGTTGACGATTACTTCAATAATCGAGTCATAACGATTAATTCCGATTAATCCTGTTATGTTAAACCTCCAAGCTTCACCGTATTTTATGCTATGCTGACTCAAGGCACTGAATAATCAGAAGGTGAATAGAAACGGACCAAAGTAGATTCTGTTCAGGGTGAATATCTTCCAGCTTTGTCGACGCAGAGACAGAAAAATTCTCCAGTTTTTTTTTTCTTTTCTTTCTGTAGCTCCAGCTCAGCCAGACAGGATGGAGAGCATCTGTTGCCACAGATCCCTAAATGGATTCAGGTCTGGATTTTGACTGGGGCACTCAAGCACATGGGTATGCTTTGATCTAAACCATTCCAGTTTGTGGCGTCAAACAGTATTTACTGCCCGTATGTCTGACCGGCCGGGCTATTCGTGCTGAAGACGAGCATCCCAACATGACGCTGCCACCGCCATGTTTTGCAAACACTTTGCTTCGTATAAAATTCACAGTTAGCTGAGTTGTATTCATATTTGGGGATTTTTTTTTTATGAATGTAGACAATATCCAAGTATTAGAACAATTATTAAGGTATATTCAATTTCATTCATCATCTTCCTCACCCGCTTTCTTTTTTTTTTTTTGCAAACTGCACAAAAAGACATCTAATTGTTTTTTTCTTGGATCTCCTCTGCAAAGGCCAGATTTGTTGAATTGCGCCAACAGATTCTCCCACCTGAGCAGTGCATCTTTCCAGCTCCTCTGTCGTCACCTTTGACACGTTGTGCAACGGTCTCTTTGTAGGTTTGCCAAAATGCATAAAATCTTAAGATAGTGTTGTAGAATCTATCCATTCCGTATCCCTTCACAATTATGCGGCACTCTGGTTTTGATCTAGAAGCCTCTGGTCGTAACGTGGAAAAAAGTGAAGAGGCATCAAGGGTTTGTGGAGACTTTTTTGCAAGGCTCTGAGGAGTTGCCGTAAAAAGAGCAGCGCACATAAAAACTATCTGTTCTTGTTTCCTTAATGTTGCATTTTAGTGGATATATATAGAAGGACTGAAAAAAGAGGTTGCATCACCGTTTGCTCGTTTAATTTGAATGTAAAGGAGGGTTGGCAAAGAGAACTTTGATTGTTCGTTGGAGGAGACAATGTCTCTTTCCCCCCGCCCATTCCTCGAACTCCTTTATGAGTAACTTTCAAGAAGTCCCTCAGAGACAGCCTCGCATTCACGGTCCGTCTGTCCTGACATGTGCAGACCATACAAAATCAACTCTGAGTGCATCCCACTTTCTTGTTTGCTCAACATGACTAACAGCCCCCTTGATGTAATCTAATTGAATAAGCTCAATCAAAGCAGCCCCCCCCCTCGCACACACCCATTCCCTCGCCAATGAAATCCGAAGTCGACACTCAGCACCACAAAGATTCCCGCTCTGATCTTTTTCCTTTTTATTTCGGGGGAGCGATGCGAGCGAGGGGCAAGTTGTTCGACATGTTTTGTGTGTCAGAGGCCAGGCGCGCGATGGAAAAACCAAATGTGGAGGGCACATCTGAACATCTGATTTTATTTTATCCTTTTGTTCGGGGTTGGGGGGTGTGGGGGGTTCAGGATGGGATGGGAAAGGGAATGGCTGGCTCCGCCAGTGACTGAAATCCGAGAGGAACCAAATCTGTTTTCCATGTATGCTGCAGCTGCTGCCAAAGACCAGCACTCACCCCCCACACCAACCCCTCGCCTCAGCCATCACTCTTTTACTGTCCGTGACCCCTCCTCACCCCTGACACCCCCGCCGCCTCCCTCTTACCTCCACAGGCACACAAAAGTCTCATACCTCAGGAGCCTGCCAGCCCCGTTAATGACTGTGTCTCCGCACTCTGCCGGCCCCCGTTTGCACTTAACCATTTATTGATAAGGGGATAACCGCGCCTTGAGCCTCTATCGCAGCCGAACACCGTGATTGAAGGCTACCAATTCTGCTCTTATCGGGAGAAATCGGAGGCTGAGGGAACTTCGGACATTCTGAGCGAGCCGGGAAGAGAGGCAGTCAAGAAATTTCATTCCTGAAATATCAGTCCCCCCCCACCCCTCCGCCACCCCGCCGCCACTCGTCCTTCATTCCACCCTCACTTGACATAATAACTGATCCAACAGTGGCAGGCAGGTGAAAAGCCCCAAGAATACAGGGAAAAGTGACATAGGGACATCTTTTTTTAGAGCAGCTAATGTCAAATAAGCAACTATTAAGAAAAGAGCTGCTTATCACATCGGGACAGGCGGAACAGTGTGAACTTTTGAGGGCAGAAGTGGGGGGTTTGTGGTGCACAAAGTTGTGAACTAAGTCAAAAAAGTTCCCTGCAAAGCAGCCGCTCTTTGGAGAAAAGAAGAAGAAGGAGAAGGAAAAGGCGAAGTGGTGAAGAAGATGCAGCTCATCTTCATTTTGGGCCATACCAAGACAACGAGTGCTCTCAAACGGCCGGAGGTGCCTGAATGTGTGACGTAAATGTAAAACCCATTTAAAATAAACCTGTTAAAATGCAAATAAATGTCAGTGTCTGCATTCAATAAGTATGTCTAAGAGAGGCAGTTTTGTGTAAAATCAACCTCTTTGAGCTTCAAATCAAGTTAAGATGTTATTCCCTCAACAAAAACGCGTCTGGATTCTTCCGTGCATGCGTGAAGAATACTTTCATCTCCATTGCAACCATTCAGTTGTGGAAAATGGCTGGTTGGACCCAGAACCCCCTTTGGACCCCCTTTGAGTCCAAGCCTCCGCCTCACAGATCAGCCCTCCTCCACGACTCCACTCCTTCAGACTAGCCACCAGCGATCAGCAAACACCTAATGGAACTGCGAATCTACTGAGTTTATTATACTTATTATTATATAATAACTATATTTATTATACAGTGTGACGCTGGTAAAACTTTGCTACAGAGTTCATAGAGGAGCCATGTCATGATGACTTTGTGAGAAGGAGTTTTTAAAGAGACAGAGATCCAATCTATGAGTTCATATCAAGTCAGGCTGAGTATGAAAAACTGCCACCTTCAGGTTGGAGTTGGCGCTGAAAGCCAGTGTTTTTACACTTTATACAGAAAATTAGAAATACCCTCAAAGTTAAGCACTAGCTCAAAAAATGAGATTTGTTGATTTTGCGAGATTTTCCGCGCTCTCAAAAATAAGTGGAGTGACTGCTTGATGTAAATAGCTAACAACTGCAATGATTAGGCTGATTTAAGTGCATCTCTACTGAGATTTAAGGCAGGTAATGTAATAAAAAGGTCTGTCGTCAAGTCTCCCAGCATGCAGCACACTCCCTGTGTGACTCAGGGCGAGCCGTGTTTGTTTAGGGTGTGGTTTTACGTCTTTTCATCACAACCTGCATTTTGGAGAGTTTCACTCTATCCTGTCAGCAACTCTGGTTTTGCAAACACTCCAGCATGCTGAGTTAAGAGTTGCCTGAAGCGTGTCAGAGCCATATGAGGAATAGCATACTTTGAAAGGCTAAACTATTATTTTTAATTTTCTCCCTCGAGAGCGAATGTGATGAATTACTAGCGCAGCCTCCAGGATGTAGGTATTCTGTTTGAAAAAGTTTTTTTTTTTTTTACATTTGCTCGCAAAGCCGAATGATGTCATGTATTAATAACAGAAGTGAACAGATGAAGGGGAAACGTTTAAAAATGAGAGGGGCAGCCGAGATATCCATGGTAACGCTTGGGAGGAGCTGCCGGGATCCGACGCTCAGGTGGAAGAATCCGTTGCCAATCTACTAGACGCGCACTTCATAATCCGGCCTGCAGAGAGGAGTAGCTAAATGAAAAGCTAAAATATTCAGCGTGGAGTTTGCAACAACATGTGTAAGAGTATAAATAAGGGTGGTGGCAGTATTATGATGTGGGGACATGTTAGCTGCGAAAAGGAAACCACTCATGGGATCAGACATGTTTAAAGAAGGAAAACATTGTCAAACTGGGCCACAGGTTCACTTCCTTAGATACAATGTAAATGAAATGAAATAAAAACAATGCAAATCTAGTAGTAGACAGAATTTAGCCCTCTGGAGCCACATTAAGCCAAATTAAGTCTGGCCTTGTTGCATTTCTGACTCACCAATGAAGTCATAGATGCTTCAGGGGCTCTTATGTCTTTAAGGAAGCTCTTCTCACCCCCGGTTGAAATATTTATCTAAGGAAGTGAATTAAAGTTTCATTTTGAAATGCACTGATTGACTTTTGTTGCTTGAAAGGAAACCATGAGTAGGATGTTCATCGCTAGCAAGAATGAAATGTTTTCAACTCGCCTTCCGTCTCCAACTCAAAATTAGATTTGAGACTGAGGCGATTCATCCGATTAATCATCAGTCAATTTAGCAATCGATTAATCATTCACTGGAGGATACAGACTCAAAAAATATTGATTTTCTGAAAGAGGAACAAGCTCATAGCAGTAATCGATACTATATATATATATATATATAATTAATTAATATTTAAGATAAAGAATAACGCCTTTCTTCGTACATGTATTCTACCCAGAGCTCCTCAAGTGGCACAGTTTTAGCTTAACCTGGATTAAATTAGGTAATTGTCGGATTAAGTTCCTTTTGCTTCACTGTACGGATGTAAAGTCGAGACAAAAGGATTGAGCTTTTCACATGTTGACGTTGACAAATCTCTGTTTAGCTGCAAATGCATCTTTTGTTACAAAGAATAAAGTGTACATGAATGCTGTGTTATTGCATTTTGGGCAACAAAAGGCTTATTTTCTTACTTAAAGGAGTTGAGTTATTTGCATTTTTTATTTGCAAATTGTATGAAAAGAGGCTACATGAAAAATGTGATAAGTGTTCAAATTTTTTTAAGATCAAATCATCAATTGTCAGAATAATTAACAGAATAACGTTAGTTACAATAATCAGTAGTTTCAGTGACCGATACTCTGATACAGCATCAGGTGACTCCTGCAGTGAAACATGGTGGTGGCTGCATCATGTTGTGGGGACTGAGGGGAGGACAATCCCCAGGCAGAGAAACAATGATATGGTTTAGATTAACACACACTCATGTGTTAGTGAGGCCTAGTCAAAGTCAAGCAACGAAGTCCAGCCAAGCATCCTTGAAAATGCGTCGGAGTGTACGTTCTCCATCCAATCCGACCGAGCTGGAGTTACTCAGCTCAGAGAAAAGGGCCAAATATTTCAGTTCCTTGACAGTGGAAGCTAATGGTCTGGGGCGTGTGTGAATGCGCTCACCAGGGATTCCTGGCATCACAGGCCCAGTCTTACTCGGGTCGGGCGGACCGGAACTGCTGGTCTCCGGTATCGAGTTGTCCTCCTGGGTTTCCGGCGCCTCTGGGTTCGCTGCGTTTGGGTCTGTGGGAAAACAGAGAATAAAAGGAGAAAAAAAAGAGAGAGAGAGAGAGAAGAAGAGAGAGAACACACAAAAAAAGTCAGCCTTGGAAAGACGCATGCGATGAATTACAATGACTTGTTCCTCTTCTACAGCAAAGGATTATGCTTATTATCTTTTGATATATCTTTTATACACACAGACGGTTATCTTCGCCCGTGTCGAAACTGTGTCAGAAGGGAAGATGAAAGCAGGAAAAAAAAAAAGGAAGGGTTGGTGGGGGGGACGTTGCGAACGCCTGTGAAACACGCCGATATCCCTGTCCTGTAGTAAAAAAAAAAAAGTGAGCTCACATCTACATCAGCAGCTCCTTCAGCAAACACTCAGACAGGCATTTCCAACACCGACACACTCATGAGAGCCTCCCACACACAACACACACACACACGCACACACACACGCACACACACACCTTCAATATACTTACAATACACTCAGGCCTGGCAGAATGGGGGTAAAGTAGTTATATATTAACTTTTTATTGTTTTACATTATTCATCACGTTAAAAGGCCATAATATGCCTTATTTATTGCCCTGGCTTTAACTCTGCTAGAAGAGGCACACTTCACAGGGGGCACGGGGAGAAGCGGGGGTAATAAGAGGACCGGAAAAAAGGACGACGAGGAGAGGAGAAGAAGGAGAAGCGGAGGGGGGGATTGTGTGAGCTCCGAGGGGAGCGCAGAGGAAACAGACAGTTTATCTGACTGTCTGTTGTGATTTCAGCACACACACTTTGAAGGCTTGGCTGCGGTAAACAAGTGGAGAGTCTTCCAGCGGGTTTCCTTTCCTTTTTTCATGAGGGGCAGAAGACAGTCAGACACTATTAAAAGATGGATTCCACAGGAGTCCATCAGATATTTCTGCCACGCCGTGGTTATCTGCATCTGCCCCAAGGCCCGCTCAAAGGGCTGTGAGGAGAGAGAGAGAGACAGAGAGGAGGGGGCAGAAAAAGGGGGCTCGTGGGGAGGCAATTTGTATTCGAGTCCCCCGTGGGAAGTGTGTGTGGCCAAGCACGGGCGGATGATAGGAAGGGGGCCAGTCAATCTGGCAGGAAATTTTCTATTTCCAAGCAATTATGGCTAAATCCTGAGTCGAAATGAGAAATGATTTGGGTGTGGATGGGAAGATAAAAAAAAGGAATTGGACTATGGTGTCTCTTTCTTCTTCTTCTTCTTTTTTTTCCGTTCATGTTGTTGTATGGGATGGTGGAGGCCCCTCTGCAGCTCCATCTTCTCCATGTCCTGACCGCAGCCTCGGCCCGGCGCTGATTGCAGCAGCGCCGGGCTTCGCCGTGAGCTGTTGTGCCTTGTCAATAATTGATGAGAGAGAGACAGGAGTGAGAAGTGGGAACATTCACGCATGACAGAGGGGCGGAGGGGGCGGAGGGGGGGCGCGGTGGTTATGCGTGCGGACAACACTGATCTGACTCGCTGCGAAACGCGCACGCGCCCGGCACTGAAGCGTGTGCATGGCGCCGCCTAATGTTCTGACCCCTTTTTTTTTTTTTTTCTTTTTCCTGTGCGTGCTGTTTGACATTTTCCTTAGCTAGGCAGACAAGCAACTAACTCAGAAGTGCCAAGCTACCAGACGGAGAGGAAGGGAGGAGGGAAAGAGGGGAGGAGAGGAGACGATGATGATGGAGTGACAGAGCGGAGAGACAGGGATGTCGGGAGACGTAGATGGAGGGAAAGACGCGAGGAGGGAGAGATGCATGCGTGGCAGTGAGTCAACATGTTTCTAATGAGCAAGGTGACATGGGAGAGAGACTGCTGAACAGCAGCGGATTTATAAATGATGAGCTTTCCATTCAGGCACTTTCTCCTCCGTTTTAGTGTTTTGGGTTTTTTTGCAGAAAAGAAAAACAACAGCCAAAAAAACCCAGACCCAGACATTTAAATAAGTGACATAAAAAGCATGATTTTTACCATTTAAAGCGTATTAGTGCATAATGGTGAATTGGAACTAAGGCTCATGCATGGTTTTCAACCCTTTACAAAGAAATCTTTGAAGTGTGGCATGCAGATGTTTCATCTGCGACAAAATAGCATTACACTTCAGCTTTCAACTTTTCTTTTTTCCAAGGGTTTTCCAGGAACTGGTCACCGTTATTCAACAGTGTCCAGGAAAATACACACTAATGTCACAAAATCTGAAAGCATTTTTGCCCAGATTCTAGAGCAAACATGCCAGTACTATTGAAATAAGACAAAGCTGGTCTACAAGTTATTTTTCAGCAAGATATTGGCTGGTGCTTTAAGTCAATGATCCCTTCAAAATGGTGAAAAAGTTTCAGTTCACCTGGCAGCTTATTTCACTCATCAAGTGGGAAAAATGTCTTATTATAAGTGAGAATAAAAATATCTGGAACCTGACCTAAAATCAGCTCCTGTATCTTGCTTAAAAATTACTTGGACGCTAGTTTTCTTTCATTTCAAGAGTATTGAAATATTTCCGCTGGACACTGGAGCAAACCTACTGAGTAAGATTTTGTGTTTTTGCAGCGTATGACCCAAAACCAGGAATGGGACCCAGGAGAACCGGATTGAGGACTTTGGCATCTACCAACTGAGCCACCCAACGCGCTTCTTCCAGTTTCTTTTCTTTTTTTTTTCTCTTTTTTTCCACAAGTTTTGAACAATCTGCATTTCTCTCGCAGTCATGCAGTACTTTTAGTATTTATTTTTTTTCCACTCCAAACATTGAAGCTTCTTTGACATCAAAATGCTAAAAAGACAAAATACTGGCAAACACACATGCATCGTAAATGTGTCTCTAAAAGAATCTGTGCACATTTCATACTGGAGTCAACCTCCAAAGTACACAGCACAATGTGCAGAAAGATTGGAAATGGACGCAGGAGAGTGGGGCGCTGGGGGCCGGGGGGAGGAGGCGATCTTGGCGAGCAGAAGGCACCGAGCTGCAGAGACGGAAGATGTTTGAATCGAACACACAATAACATCTGGGGTCATAACCGAGCGGGGCTTTGGGTTTTTTTTATTGTGTTTGCTAAGACAAAACACAGTGCGGCTGCAGAAGGAAGCGCCTCGGGGGGGGAGTGAATAATGTCTGTTTTCATTATTGATTAGTCTAGTGAGGGTTTTTACGTTTAATTTTAGAGAAGAGACGAAAAAAAATATGCAGAGATATTGGCCTGAGGCACGGCGTCTTTAAGTTTCATCAAATAGCTAATAAAAGAGAGAAAAGCCTCAACTAGCAGACGCCAGAACGGGCTCTTAAAATATGCATTTTATTTATATATTTTATTTGTTACTGTTTTATCTGTACTAACACTGCATTAAAAAGAGAATGCTAGCAAGAAGGAAGTGCAGCCGCTCGTAAAGTGGAAATAGTGAGGAAAAGTCCCCTGAAATGCATAATGTCAAAGTACTTTCTTATATGCCACCTATTCGGTTTTAAAATAGGCCCTCATTCTGGGAATTATATTTGACATTTTCAGCACTTTCTGCACTCACAGCAACCAGCTGAACAGCAAGAGTAGGAAAGAGAAAAGGAGGATGTCCATCCTTGAAACTTAATGGAAGAAAAAGAAAAAAACAACAACTAAAAAACCAATCTCTTAAAAGCAGCCAAATCAACACCACGCTTCAAATAGCCCAGAGGGCTGGACGGGCGCATTACGCATCCCAGCCCCAGAAACCGACTTTGTGAAAGCAGCGGCAGCTGGGCGCGCTGAATCTTTCCCCAAAAAAAGGGTTTTTAGGCCACATCGATGGTGACTGACAGCTCCGCCAGGGGAGCGTTTTCGGGAAACGAGCGCACGGCTCTGCCGAGGTTGAGGAACAGCCGGGAGCCACGGCAGCAGACCCCGACTGAGAGGAACTTTCCTGGAAGTTTCCTCGAAAACGAGCCCCACCACACCCCGGCGAACCGATCTCGTTTTCAGCTCCCGTTAGTCGGAGAATATGGAACCGTTTCTCTTTGATAGTTCACGCTGCGTTGCCGTCAGGCCCCCCCACCCCCAAGCAAGAGTCGCAATCCCAGGCCATCGGCTGATCAAAATGACCTAGATGGAGAGCAGACGCAGAGCCTGTCTGTCTCTGAGATAGCTGTGGGTATTTTTTTTCACCGCAGCTGCTGAATTTGTTCCCGCTCAAACCTTGCTAGCATCAGCAGCTTGTTAGTTTCTACTCCCCCACATTCTGCACAGGATACAGTGTTGTCATCTCACTCTCTGGCACATCCACAGATTCCCACACACGCTCCATTTTAGTTTTTAATTTTTCATTTATTATTTTTTTTCCACAGTGTCTCTTCAGTTTATTTCTGATTCAGCGAGATCCAACTCTTAGTCTGGGATCGGATCGTCGTGGTGGGCAGATGTTCCTCTTACTGTCTGTTTGGGTCAAAACAAACGGCTCTGAGGACGCAGGAACTGTTTACACAGCAACACATCTGTGTACTGTACTCTGTCAAAGCCAGGATGTAGAGGTCCGGATCGCGAAGCGGAAAAGAGAAATGCGTGACGCCAACCAAATGCCGCGTCCAAGGATATCTAAACAGAACTCGCCTGTTTACCTCCAGCGTTTTTAAGATGACGTTGTCCCCGGGCCTCGCACTTACATGGAGCATTTCAAGCACGCGTTCGTTCGCGGGGCGAGAATCGCAGCCGAGGAATATCGGAGGGCGACTCCTGCAACTACAGTAGAGTTATTCCACGCAAGTCATCAGTCATTTGCTTGTTATTTTTTTCGAATTTCTTTTCTACACGACTTGCGCGGGCTTTTCGTCGGTACATGAGAGTCATTCAACATGTCTCGATTCCCCCCGCGGGGCCCAGGGTGGGCAACGTGGATACAATCATCCGTCATGATGCGGGCCTATGTAATCATATATCGCGGCGTACACAGCGGCGGTCCGTTTTCCATCAGCGCAACTTGAAACTTCACATCCAAAATTCCTGGCCAGGGATTCGATGGCGAGCTAATCGGATCCCTTCATCACGCTGCAGCTGCAGGAATCGGTGCGCGCGGGGGTCCTGAGTCGCGGTCGCTTCCCACAAACAGAAACCCTCACGAGTCAACGGATAATTAGCATCTCTCACTTTTAATTATGATCAAGCAGCTTTACTGCACTTGACATCTGCGAGTTGCACTGTAAGCTGCTTCGTTTTTGGTTGAAGTTTCCATTTTTCTTAGAAGTCTGGCTGCATGGAGTTTGCATGTTCTCCTTGTTCAGGAAAATTTGTTCTCTCCAGGTACTCGGACTTCCTCCTGCAGTCCAGAAACATGGCTGTTGGGTTAATTAGTAACTCCAAATCGTCTTTAAAGGACACAATTTTTGAGACAAGTGTGTAAAATGACGTTCAAATAAATATTTTAATAGAAAAATAGACAAAAATTACACTGAAATATTTTGAAAAGGGTAATTTTAATTTAAAAAAATTAAATAGGTGGAGGGAAAAATCTGCCATATTCGATTGTCCAAATCTCACCAGGGAGAGACATTACTTTTACTTTTCACTGTCGCTAAAAGTTTTTAATTAACAGACCATGGAAAATATTGAATAACTGCTGAAGTCAAGTTATCTTGGCTCCTCTTCGAAATAGAAAAATCTAGAAAACATACCATTTAAGTAATGTGAAATGTGCGTTCCCAAGTCAGGAAATGGCAACATGAAAGTAAGTACTTGTCTAAACTCGTCTATCTAGACTGTCAGTGCAATAATTAAAAGGCTTAAAGGCAACTGAGATAAACACGGCTGGACAAGGACCCATATTTATCTCACCGCCACACTCAGGAGGAAGAATATCTCCAAAGCAGGGAATTAGTTACATCCTAGAGCCATAAAGTCTCCACAGATAGTCAAAGGGTTTTGAACACATCTTCACCAAATATTGCCAATAATTGTAGAGGATGCTGTAGTTATTGAGGGGGAGAAAAAAGAATCTTATAAAGGGTTCAAGAAACCCAAAGTGGTCCCTGAACTTTATGTGAAGATGAATCACCTTGATTTGAATTGTAATATTTGAGGTTCTGCTCATTTGTATGATATTTTATATGGATTTATTCATGAACACTTTACCTATCTCCACTTCGGAGGAGATGAATCCAATTGACTGTGACACCATCATCAGATGACATGAGCAAAAAGCTCAGAAAGCAGTTAATTGTAAAAATATTGTAACCGAGACACATTTCAGCTGTCTCGTTTATGAGCCAATTATAAAATCTCAAAATGAACAATGAATGAGAGAAGGAAAAAACATGGATTCTAACCTTAACCCTTGATTTTCCAAATAAAAAAAAGTAATGCACTTCTTTTTTTCTTCTTTACTTTTATGTGAAAAGAGGAGTTTGAACCACTAAGCCGTGGTTCTGTCCTTTCTCTCCTTAGCCCAGTGAAAACGCTTCTGGCATTGTCACTGGTTCTGGAGTACTAACACCACAAACACAGTTTAAGTCTTCATTCTGAAAATTTGTCCGTCATTGTTTTTGAAGCTTTATTGAGCACCCTGTTCTAGTTATTTATTTCCTTCAGATTTCTTATAATTTTATGCTTGGAAACACACAGCAGCCAGCTTCCTTAGAAATAATCTGAAAAAAAAGCCATGCATTTTATGTGACATTCATCAAAATTAACAGAAATAAATGCTTCAACTACTTCACTATATTATAGAAATTAATTTCACATTTTAGCTTTACTTTCTGAATTGAACTGCCAATTAACTGTTTTCAGAGTTATTGTAATGCACTCGTACATCCCGGACGAGCCCCCACTGATTGAAAAGCATGGCTGAATGTTGCCAACGAAAGAGAAAAATCAACTCATATAACACCAAGAATTAGTGAAATGTGTAAGAGGGTGCAGATAATTTGGGTAATGGCGTTTATGCTGTTATTATATTTATGCATAACACTGTATACTGTAGAAGGAACCAGCTAACTAATTAGATTACTTATGTAGCCTTATAGGAGTTGGCTTTATAGCTTTCTGCCCTCCTGCTCATCAGGGCAATGGCATAAGCTATAATATTACTGTAATTGCCATGTAATGACTTCAATTTTAAAACTAAAACGTTTTGACAAAAGAACAACACAGTTTGACAGAAATCAAACATTTTCAGGGTTAAAATAGAAATCATACAAGAAAATTTGTTGAAAGTATTTAACATCAAAAGCATGTCAACTTCATTATTTCAGTCAAATTTAAATGTGACACAGAGGTCGGTAACAATTTTGAAAGAAAAACTGGAGAAACCCTGCTGGCAAGTGTATTACACAGAACAGCGTTACAGTTCCAGAGATCGCGTCTCGTCGGACGCTGCTGGCGGACATAGTCACGGCAGGCACACACGGCGTTAAATGGAAATGTCACACCAAAGTGAAACATGGCTTCAAGGCAGCAGCGCTTTTCTTTGTGTTCTACATGCGAGGTGAGCGCACATTTACCTTGCCCGACTTTCATGATGACTTTCATGGCTCGGCTCTTGCACACGCCTCCCTCGCGGTTCTCCAGGCCCTCGATCGTGCCGTTGGAGGTTGCTGGAGGGCAGAGGTGGGAGTACAGGGGGGTGGAGGAAGGGAAGGGTGAAGGGAAGAAGGAAGGCAGAAGAAAAAGGAGAGATGGTGACACGTTGGTTAATGAGCACGTCCATAACGCACAGAACTAATCAATATTTACGACAAGCTCTGATTAGCTGTTCCAGTGATTAGCAGTTCTCACCCTCAATCAGCGGCCAGCTCTTCTCAACGCCACCTCTCATTAACATAAGATAGTGAAGTCAAACGAAGAGGAACTTGGTTAGACCTCAAACAGTGTGTGTGAGTTTGTGTGTGTTTTCTGTTTGCACATAGTTTAGCAGTGAGGCACGGATACGAAGGCTCCAGCCGCCTGCCAAGTCCTTCGAGTGGCCAACTCCCTCTGGGCCACATGTGTCACCACTTACTGGTGGTGCAGCCAGCTAAATGCCTCGCTCAAAGTTCTTGCTGCATCCATTTCTAAATTAGTGCACGGACACGCGGAGTGTCTCCGCTCGTTTCAAAGCCCGGCTCTGATCCGGCCGAGGAAGGAGAGTTTAGGGGTCTGGCGTTGTTTATCCAATGTCACGGTCTCTTCACGCGCCGCGACACAATTGGCCGTCTATTTTCAGGCCCATGATAATGACCCGGGGAGACAGAGTGTGACTCCGACCTTAGCGCCGAGCAGTTAAGCACGAGGTTGTATATGTGTGTGTGCATCGGGACATGAGGCGGTGGCTCTAACTTTGGAAATCCCCAAATGATCTCCATGTCCGCTTACTCTGCCATTTTCCTTCCTCCCAATTGCTTTTGTTTCTCTTCCTCGCCTTATCCATCTCAGCCTCGAATCATTCCACTTTTTATATATACATGTCGGCGATGTCTGCCTCTTCCCCTCCTTTTCCCTCCCTCTTAACTCAATAACCATCTCCCAGGGTGATTGCTTCAGATGGCACCCTCATTATGATGACATTGTCTTGGAGAGGATGCTTATCTAATGACAGCACAAAGAGAAGCAAACTTGGCTACTGGGCAGAGGAAGGAGGGGAGGGGATGTGGGTCGAAACAATGCCCGACAAACACTGGAATACTTACTGGCATGGCTGAATCAATGTTTCTACATGCGATTACTTGCTATAAACTCCCGAATCAAGCTGTTGAAATGTGGCTCCGGCGCTACGGAAAAACACACGCACACACAAGAAAAGGCTCATCTAGTTGATTCATGTCCTGTCATTCCTAAGTGTTATTAATGCTGACATTTTGTCACCTCCCCCCCCATCCCGAGGGAGTCCAGCTTTTTTACTTCAGAGAAATTGAACAAAACGAAATAATGAACAGCACTAATATTGTGTTACGCTATCAGATGGCGCGCGGCCTCTAAATTACGAGGGCAAGCACAACATTTTGCTAGCGTAGCCGGAGTGCGTGATAATTTGTGAGGCTCGCTGCGATAACATCTTGTCAGGAGCTCTTTGGCGAAATCAACCGAGCCCCCTGGTTCCCCCCCCTGAAATTCTGGTGTAGACTCAACACAGCTGAGTGAAGCAGACACTGAAATATACAGGAGGGGCCGGGACATCTAAGTGCCGCGCACGAACAGAACAACATTTCAAATTTACGTGCAGCATTAATGTGAACGAGCTCCAGGCTTAGCGAGCCCCGCTGAGTTATCTGCGTCCTGTGATCTATGAAAGCTGCGCCGTTATTTCTTTAAACCAAATGTTAAGTAGTTTTACCTAAACAATACATCAAAATAAATTTGTTGGATGGGATTTGGTATGTCGGTACGATTTTAAACAGCTGTGAGTCACGAAAGTGTTTTATCTGAATGAGAGTTAAAATAGAGCTTCAGGTTTTTCTTTTGTTTTTTTAGTTTCGTTTGCAATAAAAAGTGAACCTAAAGCAGGATGTTCGTCACAAAAAGTGACACAATTTTCAAGTTTCACCAGACGTCAGCAGGAAATGTAGCTTCACTGTGAAAAATTTGAGTCAAGTGAAAATTTGACTCAAATTTTCATTTGTTGAATAAAAACAATCCAGAATTTGAGATTTTTTGGTGACATAAACAATCAAATAGGACTCTTACATATTTCTTATTACAAAATTCAGTACTTTTCTGGACCCCAACTAAAACACACTTGTGCATTTTCCATAGATAGTGAAAAAAATTAGCAGTTTTGTCATCTCAGTTCGCCTATTTTTCAAACTGAATCATTGGATTTCTCAAATCACTCCAAGTTGCACACAACGTATATACACAAACCTAGTATATTCAACACAAATGTCGGACTATGAGAAGTGACATAATTTCTTCTTTGTGTGCAATCGTGACATCCATTCCGATGAACGTAGCACTTGTGCAATAAATCCACTCCACACAGCCTACAGGTCCTAAAATGCTAGAAGTCGCAGATGAGAAATACAGTCATCATGGTTTTTATGAATATTGTTTGAATCACATTATTTTCAAGGTCCTGGATACATCCACTGATGCAAGAGTAACAGGTATAAGGCAAGAGTTGAGAATGGAGGGAAGGAAATACTTTTCTAGTAATCTAAGTTTTTGGTAAGTCTTCTCATTTGGGAAGAGTCAGTTAATTATTTTTATTATTCCGGCCTGAATCGAGGCTGTTTTTATCCCAGCAGTGTAACCGAGGAGCCGTGACGCGTTTAAAGCAATCGTCCAACGACTGAGAGGTGACCAGGCCCGGCCCCGGCTGTGATAGACCGGGTGCTGATACAAGCACTATAACCTGATCTCTGATTTCACACCCAGTTTCTTCTCCTCTTTCCCTTTTTTCTCCATTTCCAGGGGAAAGTTACACCAGAAAAAAAAAAAAAGAAAGAAAGAAAGTAGAACCTCTTTGAAGCTCAGGCTCAAAGGCGCTTGAATAATCTCACTAAGAGTGAATTTTATATCCACTCAGGGAGAGCAAATCTTCTCAGTGTTAACTTACTCCTGTCGTCTAAATTAACCATTCCTTCAGGCTGGCTGAACGGGGCCTCTGCATCGCTGATGTGGCATAATGATAAGTTGGCCCTTTGAGGCTCCTGTTTAGCCCAACGACTGAAAGGGAGCTGGATTTATAAAGACGATCGCTTCACATGTTGTTTGCATTCAGACCATGTACAACGTCACATAATTCAAGCCATTACTGTACCGCTGGAACTTCATAATCTGATTAACTGTGTCCGATCATAACCACATTTCCTTCTGCGAATCCATCTTTTAAGCGCTGCTCAAGATGGAAATCAACTGCAGAAACCAACTGTTGCGCGCTGAAAAAACAAAAACAAAACAAAAAAAAGCGCTGCAAATCTTCAAACGGACCCGGAGACTCTGCCTCGGCTGATTTCGGTTTACTCACATCTATCGTGTCAAGAGATCACGCTAAAACTGTGCCAGCTACGTTTGTCAAACTCCCTAACCCCACTCAACAACAAGGACGCACTGCCAGATTCTTTACTTATTTATTTATTTTTTGGTGCTTTAATCTGAAAGCCTCTCACTCTATCTTCTCTTGCTCTTGTTCAATTTTCCCCTCGTCTCTTTCTCTCTCCCCCTCTCTCGGTCCCTCTCGTTTCATCCCCGAGCGCTGACGCTAATCCAAATCTGGATTTCCAGATATTAAAAGGCCAACAGTCATGTCGCGCTTTGGAGGGGAGGAAAGCGGGGAATTGGGTCTTCCTGTGTGTCTCGGCCGAGATAAAAACACAAGGGAGAGATGAAGGAATGACAGGACGAAGAACAAAGACGGGACCGGTCCGCCGCTAATGATTGAGTGGAACAAACTCAGCGGTCCAGAATACCCAAAAGAAGTGGTCATTGCATGAAGGAATGCTGCGTTTTTGAATGAAAGCGGCTGGCTCCATAAGAGGGGGTTTGTGTGATTTAAGACCCTCTTTGTGGGTGTGGATCGTTGGCCACAGAGTGACTAGTGGGAGAACAAAAGATCTACAGCTGCTGAAGTCATAAGAGAAACCAGGTGCCAAATGTTGATGTTGGGAAATATCTACAGTACAACGACGTGAGCCAAGAGCAAAGCTCCTGTTCCAGAGCTACATATGTTCTTCTACTGTATTTTTGCCTACAAGAAAACATATTAAAGGAGGTTGTTTTAAAGTAAAGTTCTGTTGAAACGTCGTAAGTAAATGATGTCTTACCTGCAGTAGTTAACTCGTATAATATAAATTCAGCTTCCTTGGTAATGGAGCCTGAAGCCAGCGGCTAAACGCCGTCAGCAACAAATTCAAAAGATGATGATGCCTTTCTTCTAATTAATGTGAAAAAGTGCAAGAAAAGCCAAAAGTGAAAGTTCTGCTGCACAAAGACATCTGCAGATGTCTGAATGTGGCTGAAAAGGGGGGGTGGGATTGATCCGCTGTGCAACCTGATTTTAAACATCTTTGTTCAGGCTAAATTTAGATGTGTGGGCTAAAAGGAAGGCACATTTTCATCATATTTTTCAGGGTTAACTAAAGGCGACCTAAAACAAAAACCCCTCCCCGCTGATGTTAAACCTCCACACTCCTAAAGCAACTCCAGGCTTAAACGAGGCTGTTTATGCTAACTCTGTTTTGCTGGATTCTTGGTCCGCATCAAAGTTGACACAAGTGTTCACACCTCCCCAAATGAACCAGACCTTACAGGCAAATGAACCAGAGTTTGAATACAGCGGCCTAAACGAGGGCGATGCGAACAAACGGACCTTTTGGTCTCGGTCCGATCCAGACTGGTCGTTAGCTGGAGCCTCTGCGACAAAACCAGCTTGGATTTATGTTAGTAACAATACAGAAAGAGTTGCCTCTTCGACAGAGGGCCATGAAAATCCCAGCAATTTCCCTTTTAACATTCGCATACGAGTGGAGATCTTGACAATCGACTAAAAACTAAAACAAAAGTAGATTTGGGGTGGAGAGGAGGGCCTGCTCCCCAAGGTGCTCTGGGGAGAGGAGTGGGAGACGTGTGGCGGGATACCGGCGCTGAGTGGTCCGGACAACACATGCTCAGGCTAGAGTCT